ATACACAAAACCACATGGACTTCACCGGATCACAGCACACAGAACCAAATCGACCATATCTGCATCAACAAAAAGTTCAGGAGGACGATGGAGGACGTGAGAACAAAGAGAGGAGCTGATATAGCATCAGATCATCACTTGCTGGTCGCCAAGATGAAATTGAAACTCAAGAGGCACTGGACAACGGGGAGGACAATATCACAAAAATTTAATACGGCTCTTCTTCGGGATAATGACAAACTCAATAAATTCAAGATAACCCTCAGCAATAAGTTCCAAGCCTTTCATGATCTACTCAATGGAGAAGAAACTACTATGGAGAGCAACTGGAAAGAGATAAAAGAGGCAATCACTTCAACATGTCATGAGGTTCTGGGCCAAAAGAAGCACCATCACAAGGATTGGATCACGGTCGATACACTGGATAAGATTCAAGAAAGGAGGAACAAGAAAGCAGCAATCAATACCAGTCGAACAAGAGCAGAAAAAGTCAAGGCACAGGCTGAATACACAGAAGTAAACAAGCAAGTGAAAAGAACCATCAGAACTGACAAACGTAAACATGTCGATGATTTGGCATTGACGGCGGAAAAGGCTGCCAGAGAAGGAAACATGAGACAACTGTATGACACAACAAAGAAACTCTCTGGCAATCACCGTAAACCAGAACGACCAGTGAAAACAAGGAAGGCAAGATAATCACCAACATTGAAGAACAACGAAACAGGTGGGTAGAACACTTCAAAGAACTCTTGAATCGACCAGCCCCACTGAACCCACCCAACATCGAAGCAGCACTCACGGACCTCCCAATTGATGTTGGCGCACCGACAATTGAAGAAATCAGCATGGCTATCAGACAAATCAAGAGTGGCAAAGCAGCAGGACTAGACAGCATTCCAGCAGAGGCACTGAAACAGACGTAGCGGCAACTGCAAGGATACCCCAAACTCTCTTCAGAAAGATCTGGGATGAGGAACAGGTACCAAAAGACTGGAAAGAAGGACTTCTAGTCAAAATACCAAAGAAAGGCGATCTCAGCAACTGTGACAACTACAGGGGAATCACTCTTCTTTCAATACCAGGAAAAGTCTTCAACAGGGTATTGTTAAACAGGATGAAGGACTCCGTAGACGCCCAACTTCGAGACCAACAGGCAGGATTCCGTAAGGATAGATCGTGCACAGACCAAATCGCAACTCTACGGATCATTGTGGAACAATCAATTGAATGGAATTCATCACTCTACATTAACTTCATCGACTACGAAAAAGCATTTGATAGCGTGGACAGAACAACCCTATGGAAGCTTCCTCGACACTACGGCATGCCTCAGAAGATAGTCAATATCATACAGAATTCCTACGATGGATTAAACTGCAAAATCGTGCATAGAGGACAGTTGACAAAGTCGTTCAAAGTAAAGACCGGTGTCAGGCAAGGTTGCTTACTCTCACCCTTTCTCTTTCTCCTGGTGATCGACTGGATCACGAAGACATCAACATCTGAAGGGAAGCACGGGATACAGTGGATAGCTAGGATGCAATTGGATGATCTAGACTTCGCAGATGATCTGGCTCTTCTATCGCATACGCAACAACAAATGCAGGAGAAGACAACCAGTGTAGCAGCAGCCTCAGCAGCAATAGGTCTCAATATACACAAAGGGAAAAGCAAGATTCTTTGATACAACACAGCATATAACAATCCAATCACAGTTGACGGAGAAGCTTTGGGAGATGTAAAAACCTTTACATATTTGGGCAGTATCATCGATGAACACGGTGGATCTGATGCAGATGTGAAGACACGGATTGGCAAAGCAAGAGCAGCATATTTACAACTGAAGGATATCTGGAACTCAAAACAATTAGCAACCAACTCAAAAGTCAGAATTTTCAATACAAATGTCAAGACAGTTCTACTGTATGGTGCGGAAACCTGGAAAACTACGAAATCCATCGTCCAAAAGATACAGGTGTTTATTAACAGTTGTCTACGCAAAATACTTCAGATCCGCTGGCCAGATACGATCAGCAACAACCTACTGTGGGAGAGAACAAACCAGATTCCAGAGGAGGAAGAAATCAAGAAGAAGCACTGGAAGTGGATAGAACACACATTGAGGAAAGCACCCAACTACATCACAAGACAAGCCTTCACATGGAATCCTCAAGGCCAAAGGAAAAGAGGAAGAACAAAGAACACATTACGCCGAGAAATGGAGACAGTCATGAGAAGAATGAGTAACAATTGGATAGAACTAAAAAGGAAGGCCCAAGACAGAGTGGGTTGGAGAATGCTGGTCGGCGGCCTATACTCCATTGGGAGTAACAGGCGTAAGTAAGTAAGTAAGTAGTTCATAATGAAAACCCCAAATCTAATTCCTAATCCTAACCATCAACTGCAAATCATCGTCCTTACTCTTCAAACATCTTTATAACTCTCATTTTTCTCTGGTAAGTAGGTAGACACTCTCAAGATCACTTTAGCGTCACTCGAAGGTCGTCCATAAATTATAGTCCCCCCTGGAGCCCCTCTGAGGCTACTGCCGGTCCCAAGCCCGGATAAAGGAGGAGGGTTGGGCATGAGGTTAGCAACCCCATCCAGAAGAAAACTAACTCGCTAAAAAACACTAACCAGGAAAATTATTCAAACCGATAAATCTTCTAATTGAATGCTAGATTCAGTTCCTAAGCTCTTTTAGTAACCCCTAGGTTAGATCTATACAGCAACTTGGATGCAAGAGAAAAAACGTGGAATATAAAAGAAACGCTTTACTCCAAATGTTCGTTTATATACAAGAAATCTGAGGTTTTTATAGTATTTTATATGGTTTTGGATTTCCGGAAAATTCTGGAATGCTATTAAACATAATAGCAGTATAGGTAATCATCCAATCAGAAACTTGGTGTGTGATTTTTCACTTTCTAGATGTTTCTGGCAAAAATTCTACTGGATGATGATTGGATAAGATGCTTCCCAATGTTTTCAGAGCCTTTTCTGAACTTTTTTTTGAGGAGTTTTCTGGATCTGCTTAACAGTTGCCAAGTCCTGAAATATTTCTATTGTGTTACATTTCTATATGTGTTATTGTTATTATCATTAAAACAAAATCAAATCAAATTTTAAATGATTCTATGTATTTATTGTGTCACAGAGATATAAAATTTTAAAACTGATTGGAATAGTGCATAATTTAAATTACATGTGTGTAGTGCAATCGAAACAGTTGTCTTGTCTCCTAATTTCAGACTTTTTATCACAGGATCAAGCTCAAGACATTTCGAATTTGCCGTAGTCGGTTTCTAACACTCCACCCAATACTATACGACTATTAACCAATATTATCTATGGATACACTTGTAGTTTTGACTAATTTTCGTAATCGTCAGTAAGCACATTAACTGAGAAATATATCCTGCTCAAGTGTAGTAAGTCTAAATGATTGTTTTTACCCGTAAACTGAACCACTATATACATGTTTCTAACAAAACTATAGTTGTAAAATATCTTATAAGATTAGTGTACTAAGAGGCAGTGTAGTACAGTTAGAAGATAAAACTTCATGGTAGTTACTGCATATAATAGAATCATAAATCATTTAATATCTGGGGATAGTGAGTCTCACGCATGGCACCGATTTAGGAGAAAATCCTCTCGAATTCCCTAAGAAGATCTTGATTGTCATCCAGGCAATTGTCAGGAATGGATGTTTGTTTCCACCCTTTCACTTTAAAAGAGACACTCATACTGCATGAAAACAGTCTCTAGAATTCTGGTAAAAGAAGCTATATACATACACGAAGGAGTGTTTACCTTTCCAACCTCTAGTCTTGAAAGGAAACTCGAAAGTTCATATAATCCACTCAAGGAAAAGCATTAAGAAGAAGATGAGTCACGTAACCAGTTCAGGGAAATTTTCAAGAATGTTCGCAGTAAACATTGCATTCCATAGCAACTCCACTCCCACCCTTGACATAATGAGAAACAAAAGTGTAAAGTGGCTGGATTTATTTACTTCCTCATGGGTCTGAGAAGCTTCATTAACTATAACCAGCTGCTAGCCAAAAACGTTTAGAGTTAGTTACAGAAGGATTGTCTCTGCAGCTATTTGGATATATGCTCCGCCACCCTTAATTACAAATCACGATTGCTCCTCGCTGTGTATGTTTACAGAGTGGTTATTTTCTTTGTTACGACTTACCTTTAACCTGTTTAGTTGACCTTTTAATTTTAATATAAAAATGACCTAACAAGTATATTTGTGATCAGATTATTCGAAATGTATTGTGCAAATATGTCACATTCTGATAACCTTCATCTTCCCATTGATTCATGAATTCAACTATAAATTTACTAAAATCACAAAACCCCTTCTCATAATAATCATCATCGTATGCTCGCTAGTGACTAGCTTCAAGAGACATTTCCTGGAGTTCTGGTGCGAAGAAGTGACCAGTTATGTTCAATCGGGTCTCTTGTGAAATAGTAAATCATTGAAGACAATGGTGGATTTGTCGCTTAATTTCGTGGATTAGTTGAAGTTACAAATTAACACCTTTGGATGCCGATTCAATGGTCTAGAAATTAAGCCTTCTTGCGTGAGACCGATAAGTCCTGGGTTCGATTTTCACGAGGCGGGATCGTGCATGCGCACTGTTCACAAGTCCCATACAAGGTAGAAATGAACATCCAATGCTTCCAAGTTTTCCATAGTGATCTAGCTTCAATTAACTTATGATTTCAACTATTAAAATTACTATAATATCCACAACCCCCCCCTTTCTGATTTTATCAAAATTTATCAAAGAGACTAATTGTTTTAAATTTAAAACGATTCCATTCATGTTCAATGTTCAATAAAAGAAATAATTGCATTTAGTTTTTTAATTGTCTATTTCTTTTATTCTTTTTTTCAAAATCAAATATTATGTATATACCCATTCATACATAAATACATACATCCATATGTGTATGGATGTATATAGTGTTCTTATTTAAATAGTTGCCAAGTAATCATTTCTTTGAGACTGATATAAATTATGATAGAATGTTGATTTTGAATAAAAGATTGATGCTAAATATTTATTCATAAACATTCCATCACGATCGGCCAAAGTAATTAATTGTTTTAATGGTTCACTTGTTTGTTTGAATGCTTCACGAAATTTATTGAGTAAAATCTTTAAATAGTAATAGTAATTAAAAAAAAAAGAAACAAAAAAATGAGCCAAGTTTATTGTCGTTAAATATAATTAATTTTTTACGAAAGGAAATTAACCAATGTGGTATTCATTTTTCAAGCGATAGTCTATCAACACCTTTTAACTCACAGTTGATTGATCACTAGGTGATGATCAATGTTATATGTGTCAGGTTATTCTTAGTACAGATCGAATCCTATCGAACAAGTTGTAATATGATCATCAGTCTAGGTGACTTAAAATTGTGTGTAATATGTTGAGATAGGATTCAATCTTCACCAAGAAGGGTCTGACAAACGTGACATTGATCACCACCCAGTGATCAATCAATTGTGAATACACCTCAGTTCCAAATGAGGTCGGTCACGTTCAGGACAACCCAGTGGTAACATTGTTGACTGTGAAGCTGAGTGACACGGGATCGAATCTGCCAGGAAGCATCAATTCCCTAAAGATTACAGGTACGCCTTGTTGATGAGTGACAAATAGCACGAAACCTAGGTCCAGGATTTCCTATTAACTACCTCCAAACACTATCTTATCTTTCAACTCTGAAATGACTTAATTCCATTTCAAAAACTTTCATAGATTAAAAAGAAAACTTTTATAACCAACTACTTTAGATTGATTAGATAAAATTAAAATTGTTAAGATTTCAGCTTTTTATGCTTCATTGATTGAGTCACTAGATTATATAACTCATTAATGATACGTTCTGCCGAAAAACAAAACTGACAACCAGAAATAACTGGAAATTTTGATTTTTATTGATCTATACGACTCCGTCTATCCTTATATGTCATCTAGAATATAAGGACAACAAACCGATATCCTTCCTACTTGTTATATGTTAATCTGAATTAAAAGCTTACAAGATTAAATCTATCAGTTACATGACCACAAAACACCATGAATAAAACTCCCAGTGTGATAAAAAAAATTGAGCAATGAGTCTAGAATAAATTAACGGTAATTTAGGAACGATAAAACATATAGCAATAATTAATTGATAGCTTACAGTTAAGCCATTATAAAGTTACTGTATATAATAATCCATCTGTTGAATAAGCAAAGATGGATAGTAGCTAGCAGTGGAATCCAGTTTGACGCGCGTTTTGTCCTATTTGGGACTCGTCAGCTGGATGTATCTCCATCCCAGAGTTGATGTTCACTCTGAGACTCGAACCCAGTACCGCCCGCTTCAAACGCCATCGCGTTATCCACTTAGTTACTGAGTCCTGATAGCCACTTGCTTGTGCAATGGAATGAAGTTTAATTCACTTGATATTGTTTTACTTCAATAGTTGAATAGTTCATAAAATTCTATCTCTTCTAATTAGTCACCTCGATGTAACAGAATATAGTATTGTATTATACCAATGTCAACTTTGTTACTCAACTTGAACAATATCGATTCCAAAATGAAAGTAATTCCCCAGTAGACTTTAGTCACTTATCAAAAACTTTGTAATCGATTATAAAATAGTAACTAAATATCTAATGAAAATCAATTAACCTAAAATAAATCATACATCTTTCTGCTAATCTATTACTAACCAACAATGCATAAAACTTTCCTTTAAATTGAGTTGAAAATCAAACTGTAAAGTCCTGTAAAACAATACTTTTAAATAAATTAAAAAGATTACTATATTAGAATTCCATGACTGTTTAACAATTTATAGGTCCAAGGTTTAAGTAGTATTGTTGACTGGAATGACTTATAGGCATGAGTGAAGTTTTTCTTACTGATTACCAATATGATTTAAAATGATATAAGGTTAGTAATATAAAATGACCATCTTCCTTAGTTAATTGTTCATGGTGTTGTGTGATTGAGCTCTCATTTCACGATGTCAATCAATTCTAATCTAGTTACTTTTTCAGTTTCATAAAAAGAAAGTATCATTTGATAGTTTTGGTAATTTCGAAATGTTAACTATTGATGTGGACAGCAAAACAAGAATCCTTGACAAACTATGAAAGCTATTTTTAAGGACATTATTTTGTTTAATTCAAAGCTTGTAAAACAGTACCATTTATTTTTGTCCCTAGTTTAGTCTACAGATCACAAGCTTTTTTGATATATCATTCACTGCTATAGCCTATTCTGTTGCAAAGCTATTGTAATTTAAACCTAATCTTTGATATTCTATTTTCTACCTTAATCCCCAATTTTGAACGTGATTGTATTCATGCGTTGTGGTCTGGTTAGTCATCTATTTATTCATGTATCTTTTTACAATAATCTGAATCGAGAACCAGATCGGAGTTGAGAATAAATCGAGTAGTGTTCCAGTTGACTTGTCTTCTGTCCCGAGTGCTTGTCAGCTAATCGAATGATAGAATAGTTTTCATTTCTCTACCTGAAGCATTTGATCTCACTTAGAACTCACGCATACTAGCCACTAGGTTAAACCAATCAGCCTATATATCTCGATTTAGGCAAGTTATCCTCTGCATTGTAGTGAGTAGACAGATCACAAACATAACAACTAACTGTGTTCCTCCAGTAACACTTAAGATTTTTTAAGTTACTCATCCTTGTTTTCCAAAATTATATGTATCTCTGTAGGCAACCTATTCTCTTCTGATTAATCATCACCTTATGAACAATCAGTTCTAAGGATCTGAGTTCATGAAATCCTATTTTCGGTCTCATTAAATCCCACTTCAACTTACATGTTGATGCTTTTAATATTTGAATTATGTCTCAAATCTGGTAGCAGATATTGCTAACCAAAACTCTAACATATGATGCATGTTATACTTTTAAAACTTGCATAACGGACTCAACTGTGACCATTTACCGAACCTTATCTAACTAAATTAAAGAACTAGGATGATTTACTCTTTCAGTACCAGAAGAATCGTTACACATTTTTATGTTTGCCATTCACTTGTAGCAAGAAGCCAGAAATCAGCTCAAGTACTTCGTTTATGAATTGTTTAGTTAAATTAGACGGTAAAAACTAAGAAGAATAACTATACATACATTTGTTTACTTCTGCTATCTGTTCATATTCACAACGCCCCCAAATGCCCTGGTACGGCCGAGAGTGGGGAGAGTCCGCTCTCCCTCTCCAAATGCTCTCACATGGCCACGCGTATATAGCCTCTGCCAGGGAAGTCCTACTCACTGCCTTCTCGTGGCGGGGGTGTTGTTTACAAAAATGAGAGGACGAAAAGCGGATGTCCGGCGCTTTAACCGGATCCCAAACCAATGGTGCACATGGGCTCCAGTATCCTGCGGGAACAAATGGCGTATGAACCAATCGTTGGTCACCGGCTACGATGGGACTGCATCTCTTCACGATGCTCCACTGCCTTGTGGATCAGACGTTCAGGTCAAAGGATCGGGGTGTGGCCCCCTAAGAAAACCACCTGCTTTGGTTTGGGCACCCGGGTAGTATCACAGCCCCCACACAAATCAATTGAGATTTGTGTGGCGCATATTTATTTGGTGCCTCCCTGTACCTATACTTATGTGTTAAAATAAATAAATAAATAATCATATTCACAACGAGTGGAACTTGGGTGAATATAAAAATGAGTTTCATTGTTATATCACAACTCAATGGTAAATAACCACTATTATTCACTTTTATCAGTGATCATTCATAATAATTATTCATCAATATTGATTGTTTTCCATAGATTTAATCTAAATAATTGAGAACGTTTTAGGAGATGAAAATTTATCGATGAAGTATTCTCAAATCTAATTTTATAGTTTGTTTAGTCTTTTTAACATTCCTTAAAAACTAAATGATATACATAAAAAGAGAAGGAATTTTTTTCTCAATTTTTTTAGGCAACATTCATTTATTCGACAAATATGATTTAGAGAAATTTCAACTCAAACGATTTACATTAGAACTCGCATAGAACCCGCATATATCTATATCTATATATCTGTATGTATGCATCTTGTGCTTCTGTAACTAGCAGTGACCTTAGATGACCTTACATATATTGTTGATTCATTTTCTACTGAATATATGTTTATCTTAGATCATAGGTGTGATTATTGTCATTTATTTATTTAAACACATAAACTTTGGTACAAAGAGGTACCAAATAGATATGCGCCTTATAAATCATTCGACCTGTGTGAGGATTGGAATACTGCACGGGTGCCCAAACTAAGGCAGGGGGTTTTCTTAAGGGGCCACACCTGGAGCCTTCGACATGAAGGTCTGATCCATAAGGCAGTGTAGCAACATCAGGAGATGCAGTCTCATGGTAGTCAGTGACCAACAATTGGTTCATACCGCCATTTGTTCCTTCAGGATCCTGGATTCCATGTGCACTATTGCTTTTGAATCAGGGTTTTCCAACCCCCCTGGGTGGACTCTCCGTTTCCACCAACTCGGTTAAAGCGCCTGACATTCACCACGAGAAGGCAGTAAGTAGGACTTCCCTAGTAGTATATTTTATTCAAAAATTTGTTAATCATAAAAAAGGATGATGTGCCATTACATGTTAAATAGTTTTAAATTGACTTGTACACTGTTATTATTGTATACAATATTTGATGTATTAAAAGGAAAATAGGGGATTTGTGATGATTTTTTATTGAAATTGGAATTTTTGTCACAACTTATCATCAGACAAAAAGAATGTCACTGAATAAGAGTAATGATAGATCATAAATTGACTAAGGTTAAGAATGAAGGTTATTAATAATCTCAAATGAATTGTTTAAAGTATAATCACGATTATAAGCAAAGATGGATAGTGGCTAGCAGTGGAATCCAGGACGCACGTTTCGTCCCATTTGGGACTCATCAGCTGGATGTACCCGCATCCCACAGTTGATACTCATTTCAGGACAATAACATTCGTTTCAAATGCTATCGTGTTATTCACTCAGCTACAAAGTCCTGATAAACACTAGTTTATAATGCTTGTGACTTAAAGCAATATCTAAGCAATCCACACGGCATCTACATAACTCAATAAAAGACTGATCAATTGCAGTCCTAAAAATCAATGAGAAGATTTATACAAACAATACAAAATGAATTTATAACCATGATTGTTACGAAAGTCAAGCGTTTTAGATTTGATCTCGTATATAATCGTGAATTTCTTAAACTATGACTGAAATACAGTTAAATTGATTCTATATCACATTCAACATGTATTTACAGAGGTGTAAATAGTAAGAATCCCACTCAAAAATTGAGTGTAATGTACTATATTAGGAATAAATTAGTTAATGAATAACTTCTGACTACTTTTTAATTACTGATTGGTAATAATTACAAAATCTGATCATTTCCAGTTGTGTGTTTTTTCTTCTGTTAAATGATTTTTACTACTAGTCAATGTGCATTATTACAGGTTGATCATGATTGACTATCATCAACCTGTCTTGGTGTTTAATTACTGAATTCATTAACTTCATGGATTAAGGTATATGTCTAAAACTTCGGGTAATACATAGTCGATTCTAGTCACTTGGAGATCACACAACTGATATTTATTAAATAATTTTATTGAAAGTGTATAAATCCGAAAGCCCTGAATTTGTTGGATTTTCTTTTTGGTAAAATAGAAGTTGTTCTAAGCATTTAACTTCTTCCCGCTTTTCTATGATTCTCCAGATGAATAAAATCGTCCTCAAATGATGAAAACCATCTGTAAAAATAACTAACCTTCTTTTAAGCTGATAGATGAAACTGATAAAAACAAGCACTCACAAACTAGATCATCAGAACAGTCTGACTGAATACTGCTGGATTAGCTAAACATCTTAATTCTACAAAAAAGCTCCGCCTGAAGCCAGTCTAAGGCTACTGCATGTTCCAAGCCGGGATGAAGGAGGAGGGTTGGGCATGCGGTTGGCGACACCATCCCGTAGAAGACTGACTCACTAAAAAACACTAACCAGAAAAAAATTATTCGAACCATTTAAACTCTACCCTAGGAGTCAGAATATCTTCATTTAGAAGAGTTATTACGCCTCATAGTGGAAGCCGAGTTCCTTCGGAAGTCACGAAGCTGATGCTCTTTCTGACGACCAGAGTAACCATTTATTTAGGTACATGGAATGCTCGTAAGTAAGTAAATAAGTAAGTAGTGTTGTCCAGAGTGACAATGAAATCTTTAAAATGTTAAACTGACCAACTCTGCGATCACAGCGCAACTAAAAAATATACACCAGAGTTATGAACCTTCACCAGTTTAGACCATAATTCAATGGTAAATAAATCCTATCAAACATAGGTGTTAAGATACTATAATCATAGTTGTTTTTAAAATAGATTGTTTTTCAAGCAGATTGAAGATTTCACACTTTCCAATAATGTGATGATTCTGGAGGTACCAGATTCTTCCAACTGGTTTTATACTGTTCGGCAAATTACATCTCTAAATTGTTTTGTAACGAGTTTATTACTATTAAATCTTGTATTTGAATAGTATCTTCAATCACTTCCTAATTAATTACTGTATTGAAGTAAGGTGATTCTCATTGTTTGACCTTAATGACATTCATTAAACTGTCATATATATTTGTATATCAAACTGTGGATTTATTTCATTATTCGCATATCTAATTTATGCTTCATTGCTAAATAATTACTCTTTTTCTCTACATTTCCAAGTTTTTAGTTGTCCCACTTCACTATTTTTATTTATACTTAATTTCATATATATACATCCGCCAATACATATAATGATTTCTATATCAGTCCTTAATTGCGTTAAGCAAGTTTAATTCATTCATATATCAGAAGGGGTTTTTGTGGATGTTACAGTAATTTTAATAGTTGAAATCATGAGTCAGATGAAGCTAGACCACCATGGAAAACCTGGAAGCACTGTACGGCCTAGAGGTTAAACATTTGCGCACGAAACCAATAGATCCTGGGTTTGAATCTCACGATGCAGGATCATGGCTGCGCACTGCTGAGAAGTCCCACAATAGGACGAAACGGCCATCCAGTACTTCCAGGTTCTCCATGGTGGTCTAACTTCAACTGACTCATTATCTCAACTATTAAAATCATTCATGTATATTGTGTTCTTCAATCAATCCAGTGTTAATTCTAATCGCATAATCATATGAAATAATAATGTCAATTGATGTATTAGATCATCTTCTGATGAATATAATTATTTTGATGACCTCACTGGTCACTATATTTTTACTCAGAAAATACATTTTTTTAAAAAAAAAAAAGAAACTCACTTTGCCCAGGACAGAGTTCTATGGAGAATGCTGGGATGGGAAGCTTATACCCCTCCATGAGGGATAACAGGCATAAGTAAGTTTATAAAACTATGAATTTGTAAACAAACAGCTGATCAATTTTTTTTTACATTTTTTCCTATAAAGAAACTCACAGTATTATAATCGATTTTCCTGAGGAAAAAATAATTTCCAATTTAATTCACTCAAACTTAATAATAATTATTTCAGTAAACTGTTTACATGTTTTTATTCAATTGTGAATATTATTGATCAATATTATTGATCGTTTATTCTAACAGATCATGATCATTATAGCTTAATATGATCGTAAAATAATTAATTACTGAAGGATTAAGACAACTTTATAACGAATTTAAATTATATAAGATTTTATTTTTGTCAGTATCATCATAAATTTGGAAATGTTTTAGTATGTTTGTGTTTTTATGTGTGTGTGTGTGTGGATGTGGATGACTGTAGGCAATTCACTCGATTAAACACGGTTATAATAACTGTAACAACATTTAATATCTATCGATTTTAAGATAAACCAATTATATATAGACCGGAAGCATTGGGAATATGAAAGTATTGCATTAGGATGACTAAAGATAGTTTTTTAACTTAGTAAGCAAAAAAGAAAACAATCAGATATCATTATCAGAAGGGATTTAGTGGATATTATGGTAATTTCAATGCTTGAGATCATGAGCAGTGACCAGTGCAGTTCAACCAGGTCTGCTGTGAGATAGTAATTCACTGATGACAGTGGTGGATGTGTCGCTCAATTTCATGGATTAATTGAAGTTAGACATTAACACCGTTGGATGCCGGCCAGCTCAGTGGTCTAGTGATTAAGCGCTCGCGCCAAACGACTCATGATCTCAACCATTGAATGGGGTTTTGTGGAAATTGTAGTGATTTAAATAGTTGAATTTATAAGTAGAAGTAAACTAGACCACCAATTGAAAACCTGGAAGCACTAAACGTCTTTTTTATTCCAATATGTGACTCCTCAACAGCATGCATTCACGATCATGAGTCGATTAAAATTAGACATTAACACCATTTGATGCCGGGTCAGTGATCTAGAGACTAAGTGTTCGCGCACAAAGCCTAGTGTTCTGAATTCCAGCCTCACATGCGGGATCATGAATGCATACTGCTGAGGGGTTTCATACTAGGACGAGATAACCGTGCAGTGCTTCCATGTTTTTCCATTTCATGTAAAGCGTAACTTATTAGATATTTTTCTTTTGGACACATGTTTATATCTGACTGATATAATAACCTTTCAAATTTTAATAGGTTAACTTTTTAAAAGAATGTCAAGAGGATGTTATCATTAAGAAATGATCTTATCTGGGAAAGTATTGATGATCATGAAAATCGTTATGTTCTACATTAAAACTAATCAACAGTGTGTTTTTACAATTCCATTTTCAGTAGAATTCAGAACTTTCAGGTCTCGCTTCTCTTATGATTGTATTAAAATATTAAATTTGTGAGCTCTGAACTTTGTCTGGTATGGAATAGCAAATATGTTTTAAATGGGGTTAAGATAACTGTTTAATACTATTCATTTTACAGTAAATCTTGAACTAACTTCACTGTAATCATATACAAAATTTACCAAGTTGCTAAAAGGAATAATAGATTTGTGATAAGTGTTGATAACACATTAATTACTACTTTGTATATAAAAACAATGGATTACGTGATGAAGTGTCCGATGCTACATTTACGCGGGGTTTCAATGAATAAGCCATGATGAAAAAGTAAGTCAAATCTGTTACATAATCCATTCATAAATTATCTACTTACATATGGAAACTTAAGTATGTGACTCAGTTAACAAGTACAGGTTTATATTCTCTACCAAATGTTACATACACACTATATAAGGATTTGTAATATCACTGAACTGGATTCGAACCTATAACTTAGTGGTTGGGTTTTTAAAACGAAAAAACAGGTTAGTTATGATAACAATATTGTCATTTATAGAATTCAGCAAGCATGTGTATTCCTTACAAAGTAAACATGGGAAGATTAAATACATTTGATAATTAATAATTCTGAAATATTACTGGAAATATGGGGTGAATAATAACTGTTTAGTATAGATTAATGAAAGCGATAAGAAAATAATGTTCTGTGCTACATTTGCTTGGATTAACGTAACTATAATGTTATTTTCGAACCATTGTATGGCAAACTACTAACGTTATCTAGTATATGATACACTAATGTTTACCTATATGTACATATTTCATGGAAGTCAGTTTCATCACGATATAGTGTCAGCTAAACAATCATTGAACAAGTAGAAGCATACATCTATAACTACACATGATTCGAAATGCCTAATTTATAGGTCTCATGGATCAATTAAATTGAAATCATCAATATATTTAAAAATCCTGAATTCAATTTTATGTAGATTCATTACTGTTCAGTATCAAAGAGTCTTAAACTAAGGAATTATCACTAAAATATAAGCTTTATAGGATATTTAATAAAATCTTACCTGTTTAGCATGCCATTCTGTATTCCATTGTGGCATACAAGTTGGTATTTTAGTTAACATAGTTAAAATAATTTGTTTAGCTGCATTATTCCATAGTTTGTTTGGTTCATTTCCTGTTAAACCCATAAATGTGATATGTGCTAAAAGTAAATTTTTATGACCTAATTTTTGTTCATTATTTTCTAAACCAACATCTAACAGATGACCATTGTAAGTACCACGTGTAAATTGTATTCGTAGACCAAGATTAACTGAATAATTTGGCATTTTATTGTTGGCTAACTTATAAAGTATGTCTAAGATTGTATGAATCGCCTAAATATGAGAATAGAATTAATAAGTAACACATAAATTAGACAATAATAAAAAGATGTAAACTGGAGAATATCTGTGATGAAAGTAAATAAAATGGAGTATAGAGAGTAAACTTGATGAATGACATTTTATGTAGCCACTTCTGGTAACCGTCTGATTTGACAATGTTTTTCTGTTTGTTTTAAGAGTCTTCAGAAAGTTTGTGTACTTCATTATTACACCTTTCAATGTCAAACAATGTCGTAAAACCTTTTTCTTGATAGACTCAACAATTAAATTATAGATGGTAGGTTGGCAAGTACGTTTATGTTTAAAAACCTAAACATTGTGTAAAAAATTTAATCTAAACTGTTTTAACTTCTCCCTCGTTTTTTTGTTTACACGTCTCAGTTAACCATTAAACATGGACAAAACATTAATCAGAGCGACTCCTATGTGGTTATCACAAGTGGGTATCTATTCTTTCTTACAGACTGAGACAACCATCAATCAAAGTCAGCCAAATGGGATTTCTTCTAGCTCCCAGAAGCTATGTTATGGTGCTGTTAATGACATTTGAAGCTAACCTAATTGGACTTGCTCCATGGTTTCTAATTATCCAAAGGCTTTTTAAATTCGGTTGATTGTGGGTTTGCAAACAATTTTTTCGTTAATTGTATAAAAATCGTGACCAACTGTAGAATGGTTGTTGACCAATTGAATAGTTCCTCGAAGTAACACAAGTTCCTTTTTATTACTGACTTATTAGCTCAACGTGCCTGAATTCAAGTGTTGATACAAATGCAAAGAAATCATCTTAGTAAATACATTTTGTAAATTCTAGAACAGAATTACTTATTTAAACCTTGAATACATATTTGTTGGCTCAACAATGATATAATAATCACAAATTAATTCTCCGTTAGATTATATTATATTTCCACTAATGCATCTTTTAGAAATTTTTGCATCGTTAGATGATTTGGCTTCATAGCAAACTGATACCAATTGGAGTATAATAGATAACAAAGAGGTGTTGAAGAGCTATTTTCTATGAATTAGAGCTCCTTAGTAAAGTATCTACTAATAACTCCCTTTGAGACCTCACCTATATACTTCTAGTTTTGCGGAAATTATAAATCACACATTTAGCTCATTAGTTTTTTAGGGCCGGTGAAATGTCTCTGGGCCCTAGCCCAATCATCCAGCAGTAGGGTCATCAAACATCTAACAGTTCACCGATCCTCGTCAAGGTCAAATACAACCAACGCGCATCAGTTCGTTGAACATCATGCACTGTTTCATGTGGTGGTGATCACACTCTGTTTCTTGTACGCACTCTTGCCAATATATTTCTGTAATAACTTCGTTTGTCTTATACGGTTAACAAAGTAGCCATAGGACCTGGATACGACGAAGGAGTAATCCAGGTTAGATACTAACCGGGAGGTGTGGCTTTGACGTTAGCTGGTTGGTCACATCATCCTCGCCTAACTTGAGTAGGTCCCCAATCATTCGACATAGATCATCTACTTTGGTCATCTACAGTTTCTTTTTAATATCTTACTTATCAATCAATACATTACACACAATTTTTATAGGCAATAGGTTCACTAAGTCAAAATCAAACTGGACATTGTTACACTGTTTATTTACTTACTGGATACATTAAGTCAATATATTTCTAAGCATATCACTTACTAATGTAAATCGATTTAATTCAAAGTCTGTTTCCATAGTAAATTTCAATATTCTAAGTGGTTCTTTAAATTTACCAAATGAATTTAATGCCCATGGTGTATACTGAATAATTGTCGGATGTGGACAATATTTACACTTTAAATAATGATGTGCTCTTTTCAATAATTTTGGTGTATTTTCTGGTTGTTCAATAAATTCTTCACTGAATGGTCCAAATACTTGATCCAATAAATAAACAAATTGTTGTGGATCAGAATCATAACAAATTGAAGGATCATTATTATCATCATTATTATTACTATAACTATTATTTCTTATATCACTATTAATGTGATTATCATAATTATTTTGTGAACAACGTTTTGTTGTACGTAATAATAATTCATCTTCTTCAATATTCCAATTTTTTAAATCTACCGATCTATCGATATCATCATCATTATCATCATCATTACTATCATCGACAATAGTAGTATCAGCAACAATATTATTATTGTCATTAGTATTAATTTGATTTGAATTAAGATTTAATGATTTTATGGAAATATTACGACAACTATTATATGGTAAATAAATTAGTTCAATGGATTGATTAGTTGTTATAGCATCTTTTAATATATTATTCTCAATATTCAATAAATCTGACCATTTACAAAATCGATAATTCACCTGAACGGAAACAATTTTAAAAAAATTGACGTCATGAAGTGGAATAATTTCCAACTTTGAAAAGTATCAATTTACCAAGTAAATAATGAAAGCTATTCATATAATCCCATTGATATAATGGATGAAGCATTGAATATCGTATTGGATTTAATATAATGAATTAAATCCATACATTTTTGATTGAGATCATGGACCGATTAGTGTTAAACCACCGTTGGAAACCTGAAAGCACTGGACGGCCGTTTTGTCCTATTGTGGGACTCCTCAGCAGTGCGCACCCACGATTCCGCTCGCGAGATTCAAACCCAGGGCCTTATATCAATTTATTTGACATATAAAATGTAATTTTATCCAGTATTTTGCTTTATTGTATTCATGGTATGCTATTTGGAATATGTGAGTGATGAGGTTCTCAAGTGAACAGGATAATAGAATTTATCTGTTTATCATTGGGATGTATTTTTACAGCTTATATTACGATCGGGAGCTCTTTCGACAACCATTAAAAAAAAATTAGTAACTACTTGATGATTTTTTCGTCCTTGCATGGGACTTTTCAGAAATGAAGTACAATAACTATAACTACGATCGAGTTCGCTAACGTCAGGTCTTATGGCAGGTGTTCAACATTTAGATCACTAAGTTATTATCAAATAATTTATGCATTTATTTTCAATCGATTCGCAATATAGCCTAACCATCTTCTATTTTCATCGGTGGGTAATTCCTTTACAACAGATATGGCTGAAGTCTAATGGTAACAGCCTCTAACTAGAATTCCTAGAATTCGTTTTTGAAAGTAGTCACTAGTGAAAACGTGATTACTACTAGCGTAAACATTTTGTTCAGATTGTTGAATTTTATTGTTACCATCACGAACTGACCTTAAATAGATATCTATACAATTGAATGAAAACTCAATGATCCAAAAGTTTAAAGCTTGTAGTAAGTGTAGAAGGCTCCGGATTTAATCACTGGTGGATGTTCACTGTTGAGGAGTCTTATACTAAAATGAAGTACCTACTCAAGGCTTACTGATTTTCTATCGCTGTCTAAGTAAGATCACGATTTCCACAAACCCTTATACTAATAATAAGATTTATTGTCTACTGACATCGTATAATAAATATGCAAGTAAACAGATCATGCTATTTGACCCAATATATTTGAAATTAAACGAAAACGTTAATAAACATGGTCTATATTAATGAATAAATCTATCTAATCAACATTTAATGATGATATAGAACTAAATATATTACAAAAGAGAAATACCATATGAAAAATAGTCAGTATTTTCTATAATCTGGTTAGTCCTACTTCATGAAGATAAAATCTACAGAAAAACAAAACTATAGTGACTATTATGAAAGTGTAAAACTTTATTAAACAAACATCAGTAAACACTATTTGAATTGTTCTAACTCTATATTGTTCTATAAGAATGCTTAAGATGAAAAACTAACCAAACACCTTCAATAGATCAAGTTTAAGTTGTTTACCATCAAATTCCATTTGTAATATTATACAACTATCTTTAATATAACATTATTTGCTTGAATATCTGGGCCACCTGTTCCTACCATCTAGATATTTTAACAAGTTACCTGTTTGTTTTTGTTTGTTTTAACACATCATTATGCCTATTAGTCTCAAAACCTATTCAGGAGCGTTTGTGAAAAGTTTACGATATTTCGCTATACATGTTACATACGAGCTCAATCAGAGACATCATGGTTACTGGCAATATGCATCGAAAAGGATATACATTTATCAGATGTCGATTCTTGAATCGCTAACATCTAACTGGTGACCACTCAATATTTATCGTAAGAAAGTGATCAAGAAATAAGAAAGAGAAACTTGTTGAAATACTTTGTGCTGAGAGTTCTATATTGTACCAAAAAATATAATATTGAATAAAGCCACTAATAATAATAATAATAATAATAATATATAAATTACTTACTTTTGTTAATGTAATTGGATTATACTTAAGTGTTATATCATATACAATACCTAATAATCCTAAATTTGATATAGCTGCTAAAATTTCATTTTTATTTAAATATTCAATTAAATCACCATGACAATTAATTATACGGATAGATATTATTTCATTAATAAAATCATTATTATTATTATTACTATTATTATATATAAAATGATATGAATTATATATATTTGATTGTATTGATAAAATTTCACTAATAATTGTATTATTTATTGAATATGAATCAATAAATTGATTAATTTCAATTTTATGATTAATTTGATAATTAATTAATTCATTAATAGTAACACATGATAATAATTTTAAACCATGTAATTCATTTCCATTGATTGTATATTTTTTATTTACAAATTCAATTCTTGGTGAATCAGATAAATTCGATAAATCAATAAATATAGTATTATTTATATCAGATAAGATTAAGTTATATAATAATGATGATGATGAGGAGGAGAAGGAGGAGGAGGAGGAGGATGATACTGATGATGATAAATGACTATAAGCTCTAACAATTAGTTTCATTGTTCTTGCTGCTCTTATTGTACGTGATATTTCTGTAAAAGATTTTGGTTGAACACATAATATTCTTATTAATTTATTAGATATATTATGTAATATTAGTGTAAATAATTCAACTTTAGGTAATAGACCAATACGTTTTTGTAATTCAATACCAAGTCGTTGCATAAAATGTATATCCTTGTTTTTGTTTTCTTTGTCTTGTTCTTCTTCTTCCTCCTCCTCCTCATGATCATCATCATGATGATCATCAGCCTCATCATTAGTAATAGAGGAGTTATTAACACCTTTAATATCATTATTGTCATCATCATAATCTTCATTGAAATTATTTATAATTTCTTTGTTTGAATGTATTAAATCCATTGCGTTTTTTTTCTCTAAATTATTCTCACTTTTGAATTTGATTTTCAAATTCGTTAAAGATTTTGAATTTCGCTCCAAACTGAAAATATAAATTGAATAAACAATAATAATAATAAGCTGATTTCATTAATGCATTTGTTTATTTAATCTACTTCTTTTTCTTTTTTAATAAATTATAATGAATATTTATTTGTTTACTATGTAATATCTTTAAGGTCATTTGATATATGCTTATTTATTGTGTAAACTAATCCAATGAACATAAACCTTATATATGAATAGTTGTCAATAGTACAATGAATATTCACTTGATGTTATTTTACTTGTATCTTCTTATTGTTATTTAGGACTACACAATTGATCAGTCTCTTATTAGCATATGTGCATCCTGTGTGGATTGCCTCGATATAGCCTTAAGTCATAAGCTTTTTTAGCAAAGATGAATAGTAGCTAGCAGTGGAACACAGTCTGACGTGCGTTTCGTTCTATCTGGAACTCGTCAGCTGGATGTACCTGCGTTGCAGAGTTGATGTTCACTCCAGGAGTGACTTGAACCCAGTACTGTTTGCTATCAGGACTCAAAAGCTAAGTGGATAAAGCGAATTTCTTTAATTCTGATAATGTAACTTACTAATTATAATATATTTCATTGTTTATTATGAATATTATTTCTTCTATGTTGATAAATTGCTTGAATTATATCAAAATTATATATTTTCTATTGAATTTTGACCTAACCCATGATTAAGTACAATGAAAATTATTTGAATTCATTAGATTGTTAATCTTTTGATTTTAATACTTTCTGGTGTTATTTCTTTCATTTTATTGATTTTTCGGATGTTAGTTAGTTTTTGATAGTTCTTTTGATGTATCTTTGATTCGTTACGCCTTCTAAAGAAAAATCTATAGTTGTAGGTAATTGATCTATCGTACTAACTGCATACAGAGTGAAGTATTTTTCCGACCTCTCGGAAGTTCTTGTTTATTTCTTGAACTTGATCGGAATAAATATGAATTTGTTAGATTTATATTCTGAAATTTTTGAATATCACTTTAATTCATTCTAAATAAATCAAAATAAGTTTAACAGTATTATTTATTGAGATTCGAAGCATATCTAGTTTTTTTTTTTAAATCTTATTCAGTTATAGTGGTAACAATTCATGACCAGATTCGGGATTTATTGATCATTTAGATGAGAGTTTTGTTTATTCTGATGGCTGAAACGTCTCATTTTGATGTACGGGAGGGAGGGACTTTGTATTCATAATTTACGAGAATAGTTTTTTTTAGTTTTAAACCCTCTGATCTGTTTGATTGATACTTAAAGCTTTCATTATTTTACCAGTTAAAAATATCAACAAAACCGACTAGCAAAAGTAAGTCATATGAATGTTCTATCAAGCTTACTTTATTAACACGAGATCTAGTAGATCGGTGAAAGAGTTTTATTATTTCTACCATTTATTTCTATATTCCTATTACCCAATTTTATGAAATTGTTCAAATGTACAGTAGGAAGAAATACAAGTGTATAAATTGGCGATATAATCTCTGAGGACACCGAAAAGCTGGACAAAAAGACAAGACTATAAAACAGAAGCTGACATTTAATAATGTTTATTGAACGTTTCCTGTTTCACATTGTCTCAATATAACTAACGAGATCGGCAACAGTTGTTGAGTGTCTGTTAGAGACCACAATAAATTTTACTCACATAACTTGTGCTACTTATAAGTAGCTTACAAATCTATCATAAACTTTACACTTTTGCTAATAGTATCTGAATGATGATAGAGATAACGATATCATAATAAACTAGACCAACGGAACGCAAAGATTGGGGGTTCACTTTATTCAGCAACAATTATTCAGCGATTCAAATCGATAATTTATGGATTCAAGGTTGTGATAAAAACTTAATAATTAATGAAATAATGTTTGAGTCCCAGATTGAACATAAACTCTGCGATGCAGGTACATCCAGCTGACGAGTTCCAGATAGAACGAAACGCACGTCAGACTGTGTTTCACTGCTAGCCACTATTCATCTTTACTTAAAAAGCTTGTGACTTAAGATTATATCGAGGCATTGCACACAGGATGCACATATGCTAATAAGAGACTGATGAATTGTGTAGTTCTAAATAACGATAAGAAGATACAAGTAAAATAATGCCAAGTGAATTTAATGTTTGAATGAGTTCTGAAAAAGTATTTAATGGAATTTCTTGAAACACCTAGTATTTTATTATTGGTTTATAACAAATTACTTTGCTCTCTGAAATCGCCATTACCGTGTAATCATCATCATCATCATCATCATCATCATCATCGTCATTATTATTATTATTATTGTTATCCTTTATTTCAAATATGATATTAATTATCATTCTGTATTGCTGACAAGTATTCAAAGCAGATTTGGTGGAGAAAATTGCGGTAATAAATGTAAAAAATATAACATCAGTGGATTGGACTCTGATGTTTGTCACAGTATGGTGTCACATTTGTGCAATCTCAAAAACTAATGTAATTGCCTGATATTTATAGTCTTGGGATTTAACGAATACTTTCTACTGGTTAGAAAATTTCAGGAACCTCATTATCTTCATAACCACAGATTCTTTCGCCACACACTTCTTAGTTCAAATTCATCAAAGATTGATAAGTGCCAATAATTGCGTATAGTGTAAAAAGGTGTACAAAATAGTATTAAAGCGTATAAAAGCGGTACTGTCAAAGTAAACGTAAGTACAAAATAAATAAAGCATTCCTGAACAATACTTTCTTTAACAGATAAAGTTGTCAAGTTGAACAACATCTATTACAGTCAAACTATGGGAAGTTAAGAGATTGAATCGTTAAGAATATGAACTGACTACCTAACAAATGGGAAAATATATTCCTCATCAAACAAAAACAGTACTCTATTCTCAGATAAAGGACAGAGCAATTTGGTTTGCTCAAAAAGTGAGCAGTAAAGGTATATGATAATAATTATGTCAAGAGATACATGAGTCACATGACTAATTATCTGTCAGCAACAACAAAGGTCCGTAACAAACAGAGAATGCCTTTCCGTCTCGGTGGAAATAAAACGAAAGAATTGAATTTACTCGAGAGAAATCAAAAACATAATAAACCAATATACCGACCTCTGAAAAATCAGGTAAAACATTCATTAAAAATTCAAACTACGTCAAGTAATCAGTCGAAAATCGAAATTTTTCTAACAATTTAATGAGGATTAACATAATATTAAATGGCCCCCAAATGCCCTAGTATTGCCGAGCGTGGGAAGAATCAGCTCTCTCTCGAAATGCTCTCACATGGCCACATACATACAATTATTGGCAGGGAATTCCTGCTCACTACCTTCTCGCGGCAAGAGTGTTGTTTATGAAATTGAGAGAACGAGAAGAGAATGTTTGGCGCTCTCATCTGGTTGGTAAATACGGAGAGTTCACCTAGGGAGTTGGAAAACCCTGATTCAAAACCAATGGTGCACATGGGTTCCAGTATCCCGAAAGAACAAATGGCGTGTGAACCAATTGTTGGTCACCGGCTACCATGTTACTGCATCACCTGACATTGCTCTACTGCCTTATGGATCAGACCTTTAGGTTGAAGGCTTCGGGTGTGGCCCCGTAGGTAAACCACCTGCCTCAATTTGGGCACCCGAGCAGTATCCCAGCCCCCACACAAGTCAAGTGACTTGTGTGGTGCATATCTGCTTAGTGCCTTAATACAGAAGGCAGGAAAAACAATAAAAGGCTTCAATCTCATCATTTATGTATTTTCACAGACATTGTTTTGTCCCATAAGAAGCATCCAATTCTAAATCATGCAGTATGAAATTAAGAAAAGCTGGTGAAACTTCCTGAAAAATACAGTCTACTCATAAGTAGTACAAGAAACTTTTAGAATAGAATTTCTAATTGGTAAACTCAATTTGTCCTTATACTGAAAGGTTAAAATGATAATTAATCGTTTTAATAATCCCTGAAATTGTTGAATTCTTCAAGTCATATTGGGACAGATACATTCCTTTTTTTATTTTACACTGGACCCTGAGTTCCAATACTTATTCGTACATTTTCAAAAATGCACCAGTCTTCTAAGTATGGCAAATTCATCGTAATTTTCAATTTTCTGCTTGGTTAAGTATTTTATTATTATTTTATTTATTTTAACACATAAATATCGGTACAAGAAGGCACCAAATACATATGCGCCACACGAATCTCAATTGATTTGTGTGAGGGCTGTGATACTGCTCGGGTGCCAAAACCGAAGCAGGTGGTTTGCTTAGGGGGCCACACCCCGAGCCTTCGACCTGAAGATCTGACCCACAAGGCAGTGGAGCATCGTGAGGAGATGCAGTCCCATCGTAGCCGGTGACCAACGATTGGTTCATACGCCATTTGTTCCCGCAGGATACTGGAGCCCATGTGCACCATTGGTTTGGGGTCCGGTTAAAGCGCCGGACATTCGCTTTTCGTCCTCTCATTTTTGTAAACAACACCCCCGCCACGTGAAGGCAGTGAGTAGGACTTCCCTTATTACAGATAGTTCCTCATCTATTTATAGCATCTAGAATAATGTATCCAATCATATTTTCTGCTTAACTCAAGAAATTAGTAAACTATATTAACGAATTCATTTTATATTCACTATACTTTGTAATACCTACTTACTTTTTATTTCAATAGAAGAACTTCATAATGTACGTCATGAAGTGACCTTAGTCAGATAACTAATGAAAGCCAACACTCACTGGAACTTCGTTCCTTCTTGGCATAGAGCCGCTTACCAGAGCGCATTTACAATCTAATCGAAGTCAGTATTCCCATACAATGACGTAACACCCTCAACTCTCCATAATAATAAAAGAATAATTCGAATGAAATTATGAAATGTAATTTCCTAACACTACTAATAAACAATAGGTCGTCTTTTACTCTGAGTGAAAGAGTAGTTAAGTTTTTCCTTA